ATAACAGCAATAAAGGCCACTATTTTGCATACTTCTGGGGTTCAGGTACCCAAAGGGTCCTAAGTACCCATATGGGACATACTTACCAGAACCATAAGGGATAATCCTACTACAGAAACCATACTTTGTGCTATGTAGGTCTTTGGACCCTTTGGGGTAGGGTTCAAAAGGTTTAGGGTTTAAGCGGTGGGAAGGTTGGCTCATTTAGCAAAGCTGCCGCGCGGCATCGATCTCGACGACTGCCCAATTTAGTTAGCAGAGAGCCGCGGGCCGCAGAGCCTGCTTTGCAAGTCGTTGAAGAAAGAGATTTCACTAGGGTTTAGGGTTTATAGGGTTTAGGGTGTAGGGTTTAGGATTTAGGGTTTAGGGTTTGGCGTTTAGGGTGTGGCTGCTTGTCTTTGTGTCGAGCCTCAAGCTGAGGAGAGCACCGTACAGCTGTGTATGGAACTTTGGCTTCTTATTCTAGCCGCTCGTAGGGTTCCATGAGCAAGCTGACCAGTGATGTCAGTATCTGTATGAGTTCACATGACGAGAAGCCCCAATCTTTTTCACATGAAGGCATGCTAGTTTTCTTGACTGTTGGGTTGCAAGCCGCGATTTCCCTAGTGGCCTAGCAAGAATACTGGGGATTTATATGTGCATTTTGCAACGTTCACTGAAAGCAATGCGGATCCAATAGAAAGATCTTTAGGCTCATCAGGACGTTCCTTCAATTTATGCTGCACTTGAGTGTTGTCAGAAGCTGGCAAGGGCATGTGCAACGATGCTAGAGTCTGCTAGAGGCCGCAAAATCCTATCCCGCCAAACCCCAAGCCCGTGCAATGCAACGTCCCAGCTACTAGGGTGTATAGTCCCCCGTAAGTCAATAGAATATGGGGTATATGGGGATTTTACTATACTATGCCCAAAGCCATACTCTGTCTACGTAAGAAGGACTATAGCTCTGGGTTTAGGATTCAGACTCCAGGTTTACGGGATGTTAGCGGAGTAGGTTTCTGGTACACAGTTGTCGGATGTAAAGTGTAGGGGGGGGGTTCCCAAAATTAAGGGTACCTTTGCGGGGCCCCAATAAGAAGGACTAGAATATTTTGAGGTCTATATTGGGGTCCGCCTATTCAGGGAAACTACCATCTGCGTTTATAGTCACCTGGATCTCAAGGTAGGATTTTGGGTTTCAAAGTCTGCAAGGCTCAGAGAGTTTCCGGTCTAGCTTTCTCGGGTTAGGGAGTCGAGCTTCTGGTTCCAGGTCTTGGGTTGCTTAGGGTATGATGTAGACCCGCTGATTAATAAATCCCATCTTTTTCTAGGGCCATAATAGTAGGATCCCTATGATATTTCCATCAAATGGAGGGGGTGTATTACTCAGGGTTCTACATGAGGGTTTAGAGTCAGAGCTTGGGGTCGAGGTTTTGGGTGTCGATGTTTTTCTTTTGTTGAGCTTAAGGTTCCAGACTTTGGGTTTTGGGGCGGTTTTTCGGGTTTTAGGTGTTAGGCGTTTACCCTTTGGGCATAACTCGAGCACCAGACCTTCTACCCCTAAGCTTCCTGTCCCTAGAGCCCCGGATCATTCTACTTAGAGCCACAGACCTGTATGGCAAGGTCTCCCGACACCCCGCCGCAGTTCCCAGGCGTTCCGAAGGTAGGAGATAATCCGGTCGGCGACCCAGTGGGATCCCAGCTTATGATTTAGGGTTTCAAGAGGTCGGGGGATACAGGCTTTGAAGAACAAGAGACAGAGACTCTCCCCCTAGAAGTCCGGTACTTCATAGCTAGTCTTTTCATAAAACTTCTCAAGTCTTGCTTAGAGGGCCTTGATTTCTGAGCCTTCCATTTTTGCTGTGCTGGTGGTTATCGCAACGCCGACGGGCTACGTCACCTCGCAGCATGGCGCGCAGTGACAGCCGCGGCCGCAGCCGCAGTCAAAAGAAGGACTAAGGGTCAATAGGGTTTTAGGGCTTTCAGTTTAGGGTTGAGGGATTTGGGTTTAGGCCAAGAGAAGGATTGACTCTAATCTAAGGGTCCAAGTACCAAATAATCGGGTACTAGTAACTGAAGTACACGTTTTGGGGGAGTATAGGATGACTGAGTACTTGGGAGTAGGGCTTAGGGTTTAGGAGCTTTGGGATTTCGGGTTTAGGGCAGATTGCCCCAATATTGGAGAATCAAATGGAAATCGAAATGAAAACCTAGATTATATGTTTTTTCAGTGTTTAGGGTTTAGGGGCTCAGGGTTTAGGAGTTCAGGGTTAAGCTGTTGGTGTGTAGTGGATCAGGGCTTTATAGAGGCGAGATTTTATAGGGGTTAGGGCCAAGGATTTGGGACCTCAGAATTTAGAGGGTTTTGGGCTTAGCGGTGCGGGCATTACGGTTCAGAGTGTACTTGCGACCTAAATTGCAGTATCGCTTTTGGGGCTATACCATACTATACCTGTTCTGTAGTGGGTTCACTTCCTACAATGCTGTGGGCATTTGGGGTTACAGTGTTACAGTTGAGGTCTAGGATCAAATAGTTTTAAGGTTTCGGGTTAATGTTTCAGGCTTTTAGGTTGAGGTTCTAGAATAAGGTCCAAATGAGGTCTCAGCATGCCGCTTAAGAGACCGTGCTTGGATCTGTTTCGGGCGTGGGAGGTCACCGGGGAGGGGGTGATGGAGGATCCTGTGAAACAGTAAGTCTTGGGGACCCGAAACCCAAAACGTAAAACGGGATGTGGGAACGAGGGGTCCATTGAGAATTGCCTAGTTCTGCTTCAGGGGTTTTCGGTTTTGGGTTCAGGCACGGTTGGGATAACCCAGCAGGTCCTGTGCTCGTCGCCAGACAGCTACAGTTTTACCCTGATACTTCTTGCACCCTGATCCGGAGGTTTCACTAATTACTCAGGCCATCTCAGGCCTAAACCCTAAACCGCATATCTCTAACAAGGACTCCAAAACTCCCTTTGTAGTCTCACATATCGCCAACATCCCTAGAGCTCCCTGAAAAGGACGCTGTGGAGAGCAGTCCCTTGCCTGGGCTGCTGTTAAGGAAAAAATTTAGATGCACTTCAAAAGGAACCTTGTTATGTATTGTATGCCTCATCATATGGTAACTTAAGCTAAGTTGAGTTCCTAAACAGCAATCCAATTAAAGGAGCTATGTAGGTTGGGTGACGAAGGATTCAGATTAAGGGCTTGACTTTACAGGATGAGTAGTTCGCAACCATGAAGCCTTACCCCCTAAACCCTAAATACCTTCGGTAGTGCTGAGACATTCCAGAATTTCAGGCTTTGGGCTTAGAGTCGTCATAAAGCATATAACCTAAAAGAAGATAAACACTTTTCCAAAGCAAGCAATCATGGTTGCTATTGGTTTTGAGGGGTCTCACACATAAGCCTGAAACCCTATCTCCTAAGCCCTAGCTAAATAAAGCCTAAACCCTAGACCCCAAGCCCGAAATCCAGCCGCAACTTCCCCACCCTCAAGGGATCGCATACAGTCTTACTTTCACATTAGGTTCCAGGTTCGTGCTTCAGGGTCGCGTGAAGTCAGACTTTTCGAGTTTAGCGGACCGCTTAGCAGACCTCTGTGAAAAATGCAGGGAGGTTACGTACTTCCGAATCGTGATGAAACCCCAGGCCCCGCCTACGACATGAACACTAGTCGAGCCCTGACCCAGCATCGTGGAGGTGACCATCGAGACGTCATCTCCGCGGCCTCTACACTCAGACAGAGGTGCCACAACATCGTCACCAAATCTTACAAGGAGAGGAAGAAAGCACTGGCCCAGATCGATCCTGGCGGCTGTTCGCCCCTGGCGGCTTTTCGCCTCCCTGACACAGGAATGATCCGCGATCCGCATAATGACCACCTTCCTGATGCCACTGTGGCAATGGCTCACGCCCTGATTTGAATCCCAACCTGCAACCACCAAGCCCTCAACCCTAAAGCCTAGATCCTAGACCCTCAACTTCTGCGACACCGCAACCCCCAAGACCTGAACTGTTAAAGGTTCTGTTCCTTCGGTTGCAAACCCTCACCACCTACCCTCTAAACCCTGCACGCCTACACAGCTGAAGACATAAACCTCAACTCACAACCCCTGAGCAACCAGGGCAACCATGCCCTAAACCTGCAAAACCTAGATCCTCCAAACCCCAACACCCTTAACTCTGCAAAGCTTCGAAACTCGAAGCCCGCAACTCCTGAACCTAAACCCCAAACCTACTATGTTTGCCGAAGCTCCAAACACAACGACCTAGATAAGCTTAGATCCTAGCTTAGACGCCCCAAGTGCCAACAGTGAAGCTGCAGCAGCCTCCGGGTAACTCTAGCTCAATGCCTTATATACGGGTTTCCCGAACCCTTTAGTAAGCCCCGGGAACACAAAATTCAAACCTAAACCCCATAACCCCTACACCCTAAACCCTAAACCCTAAACCCTACACCCCATAACCCCTAAACCTTCATCCTGGAGCCCTAAACCTTAAACCCTAAAGCCTACCTAAACCCTTAGGGTTTAGGGTTTAGGGTTTAAGGTTTAGGGTTTAAGGTTTAGGGTTTAGGGTTTAGGGTTCCAAAAGTATGTAAAAGAATAGCCGTAAACCCATAATAGCAGCCATAGAAGCCAGTGTTTTACGTACCTTTGTCCAGGTAAACCTTACACCCGAACCCTAAGGATCCAAGAACCCAAATAATAGGGTTTTAGGGCCCAAATACTATAACATGAATGGTGTTTGGGCCCTAAAGCCCTGTTATTTGGGTCCTTGGACCCTCAGGGTAAGCCTAGATCCTAAACCTAAACCCCTAAACCTTCATCCTGGAAGCCTAAACCTTAAACCCTAGACCTTAAACCCTAACCTGAAACCCTCAAAACCCTAAACCCTAAACCCTTTCCCAAAGGGTCCATGTAGGGATATGGGATATACTTGGGCCTTAAAGTAGGTACATGGGAACCCCTTTGGGCCCTAAGTATATACCATATACCTACATGGACCCTTTGGGTTTAGGCATCGTGACACCGCAGGACCGCAGTCGTAGCCGCTCGCGCAGCCCCGGGCGACCGAAGCGACCTGTGTCTGGGCAGGTAATCTTTATGAAGGTTTACGGTCTTGTGCTTTATGGCGGCTCTCCCAGCGATATAGTAAGAGATACTACCCTGCAGGACAGCGGACCAAAAAAATTGGATTTCAGGTCCCAAATTGTTCGTCCGAGTGGTTTTTTGGGATCTACATCTTGACGCTTGTGTCCTTGGACCTCTAGACTTCAGGGACCCTCAAAGTAGGGCCTGTCATGAAGGCATAGGGTACAGGGGTGAGTGTTTCAGCGCGGAACCTCTACATCCAAAATTGCGTCAGTTTTTTGGGGGTTTAGGGCTCTGTTGATATTACAAATCCTGCGTTCCCTATCCTCAGTATATTAAACTCCCATAATTTGCATGGTAGAGGGTACTTGGGGTCATGCAGGATTTTTAGTATCCACTGTTGGATTCAGGGCTTCAGCACCTTTTTAGAGATGCAGAATGTCGAAGGTATGTTTTTTTTTGGTCGGGGCCTTGACTGTCGTTTTGGGAGTAGGCCTCAGGGTTTAAGGGTTCGTGGCTTAGAAGTTAGTGCCTTGGGGGTTGAGATTCAGGTCCTAGACATTGACAAGGGATGGCGTCAGAATCAAAGGGTCCATGTAGGTATATAGTATATACCTGGGCCTTACAGTAGGTATGTGGGAACCCCTTTAAATCCTAAGTATATATATATATATCATATACCTACATGGTCCCTTTGGGGAATACGATCAAGAAGTTCTAGTATGGATCCCAGGTGATTTATGCTACCTTTCCCGCATCTCAAGCCTTGAGGCATGGAACTGATGTTCCAATTTTTCAAATCCTAAAGCCCAAGCTATGAGCGCAAACCCGAATCATTAAACCCAACTTCTGCTGTTTTCCTCCTGGATTTGGGGGGCTTTAGGGAGTTCAGGGTGGTTGTTCTGCGTAGTGCTGGTTACTATAGGGAATCAATACATTAGATTTGCGGGTTCTATTGAGGATCAAATGCTGTGGGATTCCTTCCGTGCTAACCACCAGTAAGTTTGCAGGACCTTAAAAACCTGAACCCAATTCCCTGAAACTCCAGCCGCGCATGGACAGCCGAACAGCTTCCTTCAAAAACAAAAACATGAGGAATTGTAAGGGCTGCCCTGTTGGCCTCCATGCTATGAGCGAAGGCTGTGTATATGCTACATTGTGTAAAACTACCTACGCTGCCCAGGAGACAAGTTGGAGATTCTCGAAAAGGATCCCCACACAGTCCCAGAATTGGAGCCTTACACAACCATCGCATAATCCCATATCTTCCGGGGTCCCCAGGGGCCCCTTTTTCCGCGAGCCCTTCACTTGGTAACCAGGAAGACTACGGAGTGGATACGCTAAAGATCACTGATGACGACGCCGCCTTCATCCTGGGCAAGGGTGGCAAGACGAAGGCTGGGATACCGATTGGGGGCTGAGGGTTTAAGTTTGGGGGTTTGGGGTGCACATGTGAGGTCGCGCGCTTGGGCATGTAGCGCTCCTGGCCGCGTGACTCACAAAAAGGAACTTGGGTAGCCGAACCGTTTCAGGGCTGGAACAATGTACGGATCTGCCACGGGCTTCGTTTCGGGCCCCCAAATAAAGGTCTTTAGGCTATTAGTATGGATTTTTGGGAGGTCCAAGTAAACTGAGACCCCTAAACCCTAAACCAGCATCCCTGAGCCCCACACCAAAAACATTGATCCCTGAACCCTAAACTGCTTACAGGGAATCGAGCCAACCTGCGTGCTTGCATTTCGCACAGATAGCGTCATTGCGTGAACGAGACCTCAGCGGGACGGAAGCGCTTCGTATGGAGGCTGGAGGTGGTTAGTGTTCAACTGTGAACATGACATGGCTCCCTCGCAGAATCAGGTGCCAATCTTGGCACTTGGGAGGTTGTGCGTGCTTCCACTGGCGTCTTCTGCCGCTGGGCTGCACAGGTCTGCCTTGAGGTCGCGCCAACCCTTTGCGTTCGGCCTTTAAAGCCGTCGGCCAGCGTTTGGGGTGTGTCGCTTGGCACTCTCGACTGTTTAGGATTAAGAGTTTGGGGTTTAGGGTTCAGGGTGAAGGGTAGGCTTATGGTTACAGAGGCTTGTAGGGTTTAGGGTTTATGCAGAGTCTTCGACAAATCGAGGATTGTCGGGGACAATATATGAGGATGATGAGGGGAATAGAAACCTCGATAGTCTTGGGGTGCAGAAACAACGGCTAGGGAGGAGTTGGAGTCTACTATCGCATAGAAACTCAAAAAGTTAATTAACAGTATTCCCAGAAATTCCTGGCATTGCTAATGTGCAACATATCCTCAAAACCCACTACCACGTCAATTTGTTCGAGACCCTGAGTTGGAATCCTACGTGGCGTTTACCCGTTGACATTTACCTGCCGATAGACTTGCTTGTGTGTGGTTCAGGGTTCAACATGTGGGTGGTTATCAAAATTATGGTCCCTTTTTGGGTACCTTACATATTAGGTGCCGTATTATAATAGGGACCCTAAAAGGGAGCATAATTTTGACAGCCATCCATTTAGATCCAGAGCCGCATCATGATCAAAGCACCTCCGCACGAGCTTCATCCAAGCTAAAAGCCCGAGAGCCCAGGCCCGTAAACCCTGAACCCTAAACCCCAAAAGTATGTAAAATAATGGCCTTTATGGCTGTTATTAAGGGCTATCATTTTACATAGCTTTGGGGTCTAGGGAACCCTAAACCCTAAAGGTTGCCACAGAAGATGGGGAAGTAGGTAAGATGAGTACTCCATTTGATGAGACGATTCCGCAGCCCACGGGCGAACCTGCCTTCAACCTGCCTTCCATGGACAAGAAACGGCAAAACTCATTGATTATTGAGGTCAAGATGTACACAATGAACTTTCAACCCAAAAAATCATAATAAGCCCTGAACCCCAGACTCACCCCAAACCGCAAGTTTTACATAAGCATTTTACACCAAACCTTCTAACAACCCCATACCAAACTGTATACCCCCAAACTCTGAATTTAAACCCTAGAACCTTAAAGATTCCACACCCTAAGCATTCAACAGGAGAAGATCGCAAAAGTGGCCGAGGCTCCATAACGAGGGCGTAGCCTTACATTTCAGGGCATTGGGAAAACGGGCGTCATAAGAGCTACCGTCTCAACTCCTTGAAGAGGTTATATAGGCCATTATGGAAGGGAATATCATAGAGCTTGCTAAGGGGGATACTAGGAGTTTGGACTATATGTCATACAGAGATAATTTGGCGGGGTACGTACCCAAGCCTTTTCAGTAGGTAGAAAATAGCTCCCCAACAAAAATCCAACATTGCATTATTCTGCATACTTTGGGGTCCGGGTGGGGGTTTATGTAAGGGTGTATGGGGATATGTCGGCTTCATTTACGTGATATGAATCATTGAGCCGCACCGTTTATCAACACAATGTAACAAGGCAAGGCAGATGATGACGACTTCGCCCGACTCATCACGAATGGTAGTTTGTTTAGAACGCAGTCCGAAAATTGCAGATGTTCAGGTGTATCGGCTTGATGGAGACATGGAGCTTCTCAAAGTGATGCTTCTGCAGTCTTGAAGAGGAATCCCCATTCTTCCGGAATTCTGCCCTTGTGATCTCTAGAAACCTACACCCCTAAACCCTAAACCCTAAACCCTACCCTAAACCCTAAACCCTAAACCCTTATAGGCCCTTAACTCTAGACCTTTAGGGTGAGTGAAGTGTCGGCCTCGAGGCGGTAGGAAGTGGCGCGGAGGCAGAGGGTTCACGGTGTAGGTTTAGGGTTTAGGGTTTAGGGATGTAGGGTTTACTGGGCTTGTAGGTCAATCCAGCTGAGTTTGTGTCTAGTGTTTAGATTGTGGGTTTCTAGCCACCAAGCCAGACAAAGGCGGAAACTTCCGGGGGGGAGATATAACCCCTACATAGCCCTATGCAATCCCTATGTTATAATCCCTATATAACCCCTGTACAACCCTAAGTATAGGGGTGGGGTGGTTAGGCAATTAAAGTATAAGTGATGCTTTGGAAGTCTCGCTTGGGCTTCCTAGAGGGTGTAGGGGGTGAGCTGCCGGAATATCTGTAGGGGTTAGGGGTCAGGGTCGGGAAATAGCGCTTAACAGCTTGATGCTTTACTGTTGAGGGATTTAGTTGAATTTTGCTTTGAAGATGTGTTGTTTAACTTCCGAGGCTTAAAGTGAGGGCATACGGATTCGAGGGGGTTTGTAAAGTTGGATGGCTGGGGTATTTGCGGCTTGCAGAGGCTTCCCAGCTTGGTAAAGCCCGGCCCTGGTCGCAGCATCAAGATTCAGATGGGTCAGGCTGTTGAGGGCCGGGGGCCCTCGCCCCCATCACTGCAGCATTGCAAGAGCTGCAACATGTTTTGCCTTCCATGGAGTGTGCGATTTGCGCACTTTCTCCTTGGACCTGTCTTTGTGCACATCGTCAGGCCTTGGCAGGTTGCCTGCTGCCGCCGGACAGGGCTCATAGCAAGGGCGGTTTCTGGGATCCTGCTTAGCATCCAAATGATGATCAACAGATCATAGGGCTTCTACGACCTTATTGCCCATCCAGGTACCAATCATGGAAGGCTGGGCGCGTCCCCGCGCTTCCAGGCCATGGGGTCCAGGAAAATGAGCACCCTGAACCTTAAACCTTGAGCTCTAGCGGAGTGGAAGGCACCGTGCGGTTGGCTCTATGTATGCTACAGACAAAACTCCTTACAGGGGCGTTATGTAGGGAGTATATAGGGGACTACTATAAAGGAGCTAGGACATAAGACTATGGCTCCTGTGGAGCTGGGAGCTTCCTGGCACCTACACGGGCTAGTTTGTAAGGGATTACAATAGAACCCCGCTCAAAGGCACCCCCCAGATTTAGAACCCTATTAGGCCTTATTAGGCCCTATATAGTTTTTATTAGCTCCTTAAACCCTGGGGGGGTACCTTGGAGCGTACTATTGTAATCCCTTGAATTAGTGGAAACATTGTTTCCCGTGGGGCGCATGCTCGCCTTGAGCGGCAGCCTCTTCATTCCAGCTCCCTTTCCCAAAGAAGCCACATGGGATTCAGTGGCATTTTGGGAAACCGCGAGTCTACGTGGTCTGTCATATTCTGTCATGCAGGCGACGGAGAGCAAGTCTTCGCTGGTTCCCTCGGGCTCTGCAAGCCTGATGTTGTGGAACATCAGATGCAGACTTTCTCCACTTTGAACCAACCGGACACCAAGTCCACCCAAAACCCTGTAAACCCTAAACCCCATATACCCTACACCTTAGACCCTCTACCTACGCCTGAGCATCCTTCACAACGAGGAACCCGGCAACTCATCAAGCTCTACTTGTAGCCCCTGATTAACCGCAGCTTTATGGGTTGTAGCTACTATTTCGGAGTAGTTGGTACCAAACTGCAGGTAGTTGGTGTTATACATACACTTGTTTCATTCTAGGTATTCCAGGTAAACCCCACCCTGAACCTTGAGCCTTAAAACCCAACCCCCAACCCGTAGAAGCCTAAGCCAACAAGGCAGAAATCGAGCTCTTCGAGCGCGACCTAATTTTGGAGATCCGCGGAAGCAAGCTCCAGCAGCTTGTTTGCACTTGGGGTTCATGATTTGGGATTAAGGCGCGGGGTTTAGAGTTCAATGTGCGGAGTCGCAGTTTTGTTTTGTTTCGGGTGACAATACTTGCATCTCAAAAGTAGGCAAAGCTCGAATGCATCTGGCCCCAAACTAGGTACTTCTAAAAGAGTTGAGGCTTAGGATTTAGGGTTCAGGGTTTCCCTAGACCCATAAGAACAGCAATAAATGGCAATTATTTTACATACCTTTGGGGTTCAGGTAAGGTTTAGGGTTTAGGGTTCAGGATTCCAACTGGGTTGCTGTCAAGCAAAGTTTCCCGAATGGGTATATATAGTGATGAATAGGGTTTCCCCAACATGGTGACTCAAGATAAGTTCCTTAACAGCAACCCAGCTTAGGGTTTCAGATTCAAGGGTGACGGGTCAAGGTTCAAGGTTCGGTCGTATGATTTAGGATTTAGGGTTTTGGGGGTTTGAGGTTGAGGCTTTGGGGCTTGGGGTTTAGGGTTGAGGGTGTAGGGTTTAGGGTTAGCAACTTGTCACCCTAAACCCTAAACCCTAATTTGTAGAGTTCTTGGGGGAGGGTGTAGTTCATCCAGCTCGTCTAAACTTTGGATCGTTCGCCCGTCTCGCCCAAAAATGAGCCATCATGTAGCCTCCTTAAAACAGGGTTTTAGAAGGGACTATATAGAGGACTACCATAGGGGATTCTTCAGGGGAGTTGCTACGGTGGGTGTTTAGACTGGCTTAAATGAAGATGCCCCTAGCCTCGCAGTCTTCGGGACTGCCTGTAAGCTCTCATGTCTTAAGCCCTACGCCCTAAACCCTTATCAGCTGTGGTCTGAACTCCTTAAAGGGTGGTATATAGGGATTATATAGAGCAGTGATATAGGGGTTATGAGAGGAGATACTAGGACTTTAGACTATGGCTCTTACAGCCTACCCTGTTTTCGCTGAATTATTTTCTATATGTTGCGCGCAAAACACGAGTAGGGTACAAGGGTCCCGGTGAGGTTTGGGGTAGGCTGCAGCGATTTGAGCGCATGCCACGAGAATTCCGATGGTTGCTGCCTGGTTGGCTTCCCGGTTAATGGTTTGACCGGTTCCAGAAATCAGGGTCTCTTGAAGTGTCCCAATGCGAGACGTCGCATGATACTTTTGAGATAAAGGAGGGTATGGTCCTACAGAAGGCGCCGCACATCGCACATTTTGTCGAGCAGTAACAGAAGGAGGTGTATTATCCTATATCTTATCTAAACCTCGTAGGAACTATGCAGTGCCGATTATGAGCCCCCTGCATCAGCCTTGCTGATTGCTGAGGTGGAGAAGCCTTAGCCCTAAATCCTACACCCTAATCCTACCTCCGTATGGTTTAGGGTTTAGGGTTTAGGATTTAGGATTTAGGATTTAGGGTTTAGAGTTTAGGGTTTAGGGTTTCGGGTTTAGAGTTTAGGGTTTAGAGTTTAGGGCTTAGGGCATAGGGAACCCTAGACCCGAAACCGCGCAGGCGGAAGAGGGCCAAGAAGTACTGCGAGGGTGTCATGGCCCAGCGTGCGGGCCTTGGTGCTTTGATGAGGATCAAATACTTTAGGTGCCTAAATGGGTAGTTCGCGAAATTAGGATCCCTTAGTTTAGGGTTTTAGTGCTGCTAGGGTTCGTAGAGGATTTACAGGGGTTAGGGTTTAGGGACATTACCCCAAACGATGGAGAATCCAATGGCCCCAAATGGAACGGAAAATGAAAGACGAAATGGGCATTGGGATTACAAAAGGGCTTATTGGGACCTACTCAGATAATAAACGGGTGTGGGTTTCCCCGTCTACGTACTACACTTACAACAAGACCCCATGCGAGTCTCAGGGTAGCCATCGGGTGCTTATTTCAGGGCTTATAGGTAACCTCAGTCCTTTGCTACACATACCGACGGCATGCCCTCGGAGAAATTTTGTGCCTAAACCCTAAACCCTAAACCCTAAACCCTAAACCCTAAGCCAACGCTGGGGTTCTTTGGCCGGCTAGACCTGCGAGCAATTCCGGCTGCGAAGTGCCAACATGATGTGCTTTCCATGGTGATAGAAGCATTTTACTGGGTTGCTGTTAAGGAACTTAAATTAAGTTACTATATTGGGGAAACCCTATTATTTACTATATATATCCAATATGGTAACTTAATTTAAGTTCCTTAACAGCAACCCAGAAGAGTGTTCTGGGTGAACAAACTCAAGGTCACTGCTGAAGTCCAAGATTGCCAAAACTTGCGCTGCTTTCTGCTGAGAGATTTGCAGTATCTGGCCTTGGGGAGGGTAAGCAGGGTGACCTTAGATCTTTCAAAGTGCTTGTTGTCATTTCTGCTGCTTATGTATGATGCTCTCAATGTTGCTAGCTCGTTGTTCGAACTGGTCCTGATTTTGACAGGAGTTCTTGCCTTTAGTGTGCATGTCTTACAAACTTACATGGGCGGACATAGATACTGACTTATTCTTGCAAGGACGCCCAGTCAAACATTGCTGTTAACACCGCATCACACCCCATGTGATGGGTGAAAACCTGCTCCCACCCTAAACCCTAAACGTCTTATAATCTGAGCCCCCAAACCCTAAACCCCTTAAACCCTGAACACTTGACCCGTAACTCGCTAAACCCGAAACCCTAAACCCTAAACCGTGCCTTCCACAGCTTGCCAGGTACAGGACCGGTGTCAGTCACTGAAGATTATGACGATGACGACCTCACACTGCTTCAGGCTTGTCGATGGGGATTGGGTTTAGGGTTTAGGGCGGCTTAGGGATTTTGGTTTTGGATTTAGGGTTTAGAGATTGAGGTCTAGAGTTTAGGCTTTAGGAACTGGGGTTTCGCTCCAGGTACATACGGGCCGGGCCATTCTCAAAATTATATTTTGCGATATTCCTTATAGTAAAGAATTTGGTATCCAGGTTTTCCACAGTTCGGCCCAAATTGGGCCCTCACTTCTGGACATCTCCATACTTAAGGATGGTTACATTCTGTGAGTACCCGGAGGCTTAGGGTTGAACGTTTGTGATCTACCTAAAGCCCTAAATGCTAATCCCAAATTCCTAAGCCCTAAGAGCCTAAACCTTCAACCCTAAAACCCCTAAACCCTACACCCGAAAACCTTAAAACCCTAAGCCCCAAACTCCTAAATCCTAAGCCCTGGGATTCAAGAGTTCAAGGTCCGGTGCGGGGTTTGGTAGATTCAGTTTTCGGGCTGACAGGGCCCTAAACCCTAAACTCTAAGTTGTGGAACCCTAAAGCCCTAGCGCTTAGGTTTTAGGGTTTAGTGGAACCCTAAACCCTAAGTTGTGAATTCGTTTGAAGGTTTAGGATTCAGAGCTTTGAAGCTGTCCATTTGTTTCAGGTTCGCTCTTTCAATCGCGGTTAAGGTTTATAGTCCCCCTTGAGTAGATAGAACATGGGGTACATGGGGTCTTAGTATGATATACCCAAAGCCATATTCTATCTTCTTCAGGGGGACTATAAGGTGTGGGGGTTATGGCCTTTGGGCTTTCAGACTTTCGGATTATGAGGACTGAGGCGGATGGATGATGGCTTACCCTCCCCCCAACTAGCACGGAACCCCATATGAGCTGTAGTAGGGGATTATATAGGGGAGTACTTTAGGGGCTATTAAGGGGGATACTAGGAGTTTAGAATATAGCTCATATTGCCCCCTTTAAAAGGACATTCGTCTACAAGGGGCCCCTTTTCAGGTTGGGAGGGTACAAAGCCTTGGGGACGAAGCGCTGGCCCTAAGTAAGGCACAAGCTAAGGGTTTAGGGAGAATTTTGCCCGAAACCCTAAATTGACATCCCGGCTGCCCAAAACTCCGGGTCCGGAATGCCAAGCGCCCGCCAGGGTTTAGGGTGCAGGGTTTAGAGTTCAGGGTTTAGGTTTTTTCGGGCCTCGAGCTAGATATTTCCCGTAAGACACCTGGGAGATTGGAGGCCATATCTATCATTTGGGGTGGTGGTTGCACGGAGCGGGCCGTTGAGCATTTGAATGAATCTAAGGTTAAAACCATGGGCTTTTGTGTGTTATCATTTAGGGTTTAGGGTTTAATCCGGAACAATGGTATCCGACGCAGTAACCGCCCCAACCACACGGTCTCTACGAGCAGCAGCAGCAGCAGCAGCAGCAGTGACGCTACCACACTATGTGAGCCATAATCTAAGCTCCTTTTATTAAGGGTGGTTTCATAGGGGATTAGATAGGGGAGTATTATATGGATATATAGGGATTGATTTTGTGGGATACTGGGAGTTTAGACCATAGCTCATATTCTCGATCACAGTTGAAGCGGCTGCAGCTCCTTAGCAGGCAGGCAAGTGGCTGACTAGGTAGCAAGACCACCGGCCCAGCAGTCATTTTACTGGGTTGCTGTAAAGGAGTTTAATTCAAGCTACTACATTGGAGAAACCATCATAATATTCTGTATGTATATATACATATACCCATTATGGTAACTTAATCTAAAACTCCTTAACAGCAGCCCATTTTTAGCCTATCGCACTGCAGGCATAGAGTGCGGCCCTGCTTGTTCTGGCCACCTACATCCCCCGGTAGGGCAAGTGCGCATTGTTTAGGGTTTAGGGTTTTGACGCTGGCGGCGTAGTGACAGTGCTGAATCCGGAATCACCAGCAGTGCTAGATAATGTTGCACCCTGTTTAATGATAGGGGGTCCCCCCCCCCCTCTGAACAATTACC